CTCTTTCAACTTCATTCTTGTCTCTTTATCTTGCCAATTCCTTTCTGATTCCATTATATTTATTGAAATATTTGGAATATAAATTGGAATAATACAAGGTAAGCAAGAGAGGCAGAAACATGTAAAAAAAGAGGTAAACAAAAAAAAGTACTAGTAAGGAATGTATTCGCTTTTGTTTCTACTTAGTCAGCATTAAACTAGTAGTAAGACATAATTGCTACCCTTTGAGATGGTGCATGTCTGAATAATTTATTTCATATTTTATTTCAAGATATTTCAGAAAAGCCAAATGGAAGTTACATTTGATTGTTCTACTAGTTATGGGACAGATCTCACAAGACCAGTGAGCTTAGAGGTGAAAGACTCCATGTCTTATTAGCATTCTTGTAAGCTTGAAAGAGGTTATTAATCTGAACTTTCTGTAGAGACTGAATAACACTGCAGCATTTACTAAGAGGTTAAGAATTATGACTTTATACAGAATTAGGCTGCATGGCAATTTACAAGATAAATTGCCAGTTTATACCAATTTGGTACATAGCTGTAAATACATCAAATATCAGATAATTTTTCTGTTATTTATGCATTTTCTCCATAAATCCTAGAACCCATAAAAACTGCCATCCTGTAAAGTGATATGGGCTAGACAGAACTATTTTTAGAGTTTAGTGATACAACTCCTATATTGACTGAAGGGATCACTGCAGAATCACACACATGTAAAACAATGTCTCTTTATAGCACTGTATGAGCTAGTTAAAATTTTACTAGTTTCAAACTAAAAAGATCAGCCTGGAAACAAGGTTACTAGCCTTCTGTAAGTGTTGTGCAAGATATGTTACTCATGTCCATTCCGTGACTCCCTCCCTTCTCCTTCGCCTCTGTCAGATTTCCAGTAAGAAGAAACTGAGTGAAAGGAGAGTCACTGGGCCCCTTTTACTAGCACATATGCACACCACTTCTGAGGGCACCAGAACCAGTCCCCTATAAATACCACTGAGGGAAAAACTTCCAGCAAAAATGCATGTGGAGAGCACACACCCCTAACAGAATGGGCATGAGGAAGCACTTAAGAATAAAGAGGACCTAAATGCAAACCCCAAGGTCTAATCTGAGCTCTAGATCCAGACACGAACAGACTACCTCAGAATCCTGGATCAAAACATTCTGGAAAGTAGGTGCTAAAAACCTTGACCCATATCTAAACTTATCCACCTTTTAGAATGTTAAAGTTCAGTATTTTGATTTGAGATACCGTATATTCCGGCGTACAAGACGACCTCTGAAGTTAAAAAACATCCCCCAAAAATCGGGGGTCGTCTTGTACGCCGGATGCCCCGCCGCCGGAGCCCCTCCGCGGCTTTGAAAGCCTAAGTAGGTGCTAAAAACCTTGACCCATATCTAAACTTATCCACCTTTTAGAATGTTAAAGTTCAGTATTTTGATTTGAGATACCGTATATTCCGGCGTACAAGACGACCTCTGAAGTTAAAAAACATCCCCCAAAAATCGGGGGTCGTCTTGTACGCCGGATGCCCCGCCGCCGGAGCCCCTCCGCGGCTTTGAAAGCCTCGGGGGAAGCCGGCGGCTGGGCATCCCCAGGCGCGCATGGGCTGCCCCCCCTCCGGAGCCCCTCCGCTCCTGGCGGCTTTGCTCCCGGTGCCTCTGGTCTGCTGGGGACCATCTCCAGCAGACCAGGGACACCGGGAGCAAAGGAG